CCTCAGGCATTTGACTACTAACCAGAAGGCTGGTGGTTCAAACCCACCAGCCACTCCTTGGAAGGAAGACTGAGCAATCTACTTCCGTAGAGATACCACCTCAGAAACCCAAGGACGGGTCGCTATGAGTTGGGTTGAAGTGGCATTAATTACATTCACTATGTTCTGCAACATTTATACTTTTGTTTTTTATAAAACAGATACTTGGTCACTGTAATAAACTCAACCAATAATTATAGAGCACAAAGAAGAAAACAACAAACTACCTTAAATCCCACAACCCAGAGATAGCTGGTGTAAACTTTTTAGGTGTCATCTTATTGAAATTTAACAAGAGATAAAGAAACTGCTGTTAAAATGAAGGAACTCCTGCAAAAGTTCAGAGGTGACAGTGAATTGGGTATGTTTGGAAAGGAGGGTGCCCACTCCTTCAGGGCAGGAACAGTGCCTGTTTCATATATAAACCCAGTGCCTAGTGTTGTACAGTGAAGATTTCCCACTAATATATGTTCAAGGAATAAATTAACAAATGGAAAGTGGCCAAGGGAAAAAAGAAAGATCAATGTGAAAGAGGCAATCCATTAAATATAAAGAAATGAGACTAATGTCATAATAATACAATACATAGCAAACCAAATAAACCAAACAAGTTGCCGTGGAGTCAATTCTGACTCAGTGACCCCATGTGTGTCAGAGAGAACTGTTCTCCATAGGGTTTCCAATGACTGATTTTTCAGAAGTAGATGGAAAAATGGCCTTTCTTCCAAGCTGCCTCAGAGTGGATTCGAACCTCCAATCTTCCTATTAGCAGCTGAACATATTAACTGTTTGCACTACCCAAGGACTCCAAATATAATGGGTTCCTATTTAATGAGCTCCTGCAAGTGCCATGTCCTGAGCCAAGCATTTCTCATTGTTGTCCCAATTAGTTCTTACAACAGAATTAGGTAAGTAATATTATTATTGCTATTTTACATCTGGGAGCTCTGGTAGCATAGTGGCTAAGACACTTGACTGCTAACCAGAAGGCTGGCAGTTCAAACCCACCAGCCACTCCTCGGAAGGAAGGTTGGGCAATCCTACTTCCATAGTGATACTGCCTCGGAAACCCAAGGAGGGGTTGCTGTGAGTCAGGGCTGACTCGATGGCACATAACAACACCAACAACAACAATTTTACATCTAAAGATACACCCAAAAAGATTTGATGACTTGCCCAAGATCACCCAGGTAGTAATTTAGGATTTGAACTCAGGCTGATACTCTTCACCCAGTGATTCTGTCTTCTCAAAGAAGACATCAGAAAGATTTCTGACGTTATCAACATCATTAAAGAGGTGTGTAGCCCCTCCCCCTCAAGTGTCTTGACTCCCTTGGAAGCTCAAGTTATGACTTCTTACTTTAAAATCATACATCACAGTCAACCCATAAAATCATCAAAAGTGGTTAAAGAGAAATTAGTTGTTTTAGTTACCTAGTGCTGCTCTGACAGGAATATACCACAAATGGGATGGCTTTAACAAACAGGAGTTTATTCTCTTACAGTTTGGAGGCTTTAGGTCCAGTTCAAAGTGCCAGGCTCCAGGGGCTGGGTGAAAGCCCCTCAACCTGGGGCTTCAGCTCTGTTTCCTGCTCCCAGCCCACTGAAGCTGGAGGCTTTTCTTCTCTCAGACAGCTGCCAGCTGCTGAGGCTGACAAACCCAAAGTCGATAAGTGAAAAGGCACAGTCCCAACGTTACCCAACAACACAGTGGGCCACTGATTCAAGTCCGTTGAAAGTCCCAAGATCGGCAGAGCATGGCAGGCTGCTGAACAACATGGCTAACGCAGGGTTCAAGTGTGCCATAAAGTAGAGACCATTCCCAAAGCTGCTTCTTATATATGGGAAGCAGCCCACCTCCCTAAAGCAGCTACACAGCTGCTTGTGGTAGATCCCAACAGTGGAGTTGATTGCCAGTCTCATCATGGGGAATAACTACCACTGGCTGCCCAGCCATTCAAGCAGGCCCAGCCAAGTTGACCCACAACCTTAACTACTACACTAGTGTGGTGGTTAAATTTGTGTGTCAACTTGGCTAGTCCTGTTTGAGTGGCTGGGCAGCTGGATGTAGTACTCCTCATGATGAGACTGGTAATTAACTCCATGGTGGAATCTCCTGGGAAGAGCTGAGTAGCTGCCTTAGGGATATTGTCTGCTTCCTGTACATAAGGAGAAGCCTTGGGGAATGATCTCTAGCTTATGACATGCTTGGGCCCTGCATGTAACCATGTCGTTGTTCAGCAGCCAGCCATGCTCTGCTGACCTTGGAATTCACAATGGACTTGAATTAATGGTCTGCCATGTGGCTTGGTAACGTCAGGACTGTGCCATTTTATTTGTCAACCGACCTTGGGCTTATTAGCCTCAGCAGCCAGGAGCTGCCTGAGTGAAGATAAGCCTCTAACTTCAGTGGGCCGGTAGCAAGAGGCAGAGCTGAAGCCCAAGGTTGAGGGGCTTTCACCCAGCTCCTAGAGCCTGGCACTTTGAACTTGGACTTAAAGCCTATGAATTTTAAGAATAAACTCCTGTTTGTTAAGGCCATCCAATTTGTGGTATATTCTTGTCAAAGCAGCACTAGGTAACCAGAACAACTAGTTTAAAACATATACCCTGTTTCCCAGGAATGAGTGGTTTTCTTCCACTACTATGAGTAATCAATCATTCCAAATACCTACTTTTGTTTTTCATTTGCTGGTTTGATGGGTGTTGTCCCACTGGGAGGAAAAGGAGAGAAACTTGGAGAGCGAGCACGCAGGGCCTGAAACCTAAGCTCTGTCTGTGACCTGGAAGCCCATGACATGGTCAGCCTCCTCTAAGAAGGCTATTTCACTCAAGTTTGAAGGCAGCAGATAATCGGATGAACAAAAGGGTAAATTGATTTGAATGTAACTAGATGGGTGGATAAGAGAAGTGAGGGTCCTGAAATGGTCACACACAGGAGGAAATGCATTTTTTTAAATATTTTAAATTAACAGTCAGCCTTCCTAAATGGGAAGAATGTGGTTCCGAGGTTTGATTCTGTCTGACCTTACTATAAACCACCTTCTGAGTTCCCCATTCTCACATAGTCCCTAATCAGCCAGGAGCCACTGATGAGAGGTCTTCAGGGCACAGGGGTGCAAGACAGGCCTGGAGGAGCCTTTCTCTTGCATCAGTTCTGCCACCTGTGCAATGGAGTCTTTCCTGTGACGAGTCCTAGTTCTTATTCAGACCCAATCCAAAGAAGTCAGCTGAGACTCAGATTCCAACTCTTGGACTGGCCACCTCCAGGCTCTCTCTGCTTCCTGCAGGGTAAGGCTGCTACTGAGAAGGGAGGGTAGTAAGACCTCAGAGGTCTTGGGAAACCCACCAGGGCCAATATGCAGGTGAAGGGGCAGAGCACCAGACAAGGGCTGATTGCTCCAGGAAGCCCAGGACTTTAATGTTCACTGGAAGGAGGTCAGAGAGAGACATGGTGATAAGGTACAGGTTTTCTTTTCCTCTTATCCATCTGGGACTCTATTTCTGTATGGAAAATGAAGTCAGAAGCTGTTTTTTACACCCTCACAATAGTCTTAGTGGCCCCTTCTCTTTGGACTCTTCCAAGAAACAAAGAATTTCATGAGGTTGGTAGAGGGAGAGGGGTAGGGAATTAGAAACAAATTTTGAACAACCTTCAACATTTGGGACACTTTGGGCAGATATAGGGAATGAACCATGTGGCTTCTGGAGTAGGTGCCCAATAAATAGGTCTGTGGTTGATCCTCCCTGAAGGCCCAGAGAGCAGGACATACCAGCAGGCAGGAGTCACTGGGGGCAGCCCTGTGAACCCAGCATTGGTTCCATTACTAGGGTAATACCTAGGACACAGAGGTTCTCAAAATGTGAAACACAGACCATCTTCATCAAAGTCACCTGAGAAACAGCTATTTCAAAAGCCACTTAGCTACCCACCTCCAGCATCCTCCACCCACTGAATCAGAAAGAGTGCCAGAAATCTACATTTGTCTCTAAAAAACATCCTCCAGTACTCCTTAGACCTGTTTAAAAAAATTAACTTGGAGGCTTCATAAACTTATGTGTCTCAGATACCCAGGAGAAGCAATCATAAAGCCCTTACTGCTCTGCTCATTTTTAATCACTCTCACAGTGGACTACAGAGCACCTGGCCAACTCAAGCACCAGAGGGTTGAAGATATGTTTTCTGCTATCTTTATTAAGAGCTGAGTAGCATTTCCTGTGCCCCGTGCTTCATTAGCACATTGGTGGTATCGCTTCCTGTGACTGACTCTCTGTTTCCATTCTGGCAAAGTGGTTTGCTCTTCTCTCTCGGCGGGGGGGTGTTGGGGGTTGTTGAAGGGGGAGGATGAGCTTCTCCTGGGCCTCTTAGCAGTGTCCCCTCTGTGGTGTCGCTCACACTCCTACCCGAAGACTGAGACCATGGATGGTTCCTGAGCTGCCTCCCTCCGTAGACTGCACTGGGATGAGATCTCACCTCCTGAACTGGTGTAGCCACATCCAGGTAGAACCAACCTTTGGTTTTTGTAGTCTGGGTCAAATCAGCCTGACATTTCAGGGGCAGGGACAAGTAGGAGTTTGTTGGGGGAAAGAACATTCTAGAGAGAAAGATTGGGACCCTTAGAATCAAAGAAATAAAAAACAGAAGCCTTTTGTTTGTGAAGGACTTCAGTGGATAAATATTGAAGATCAAGAAATCTTATGAGCAAAATGTTGTCAGTTAGGAAGTATTTTGAAGAAATGGAGACCAAAAGGCTTTCTCTAATTTTATAATATGTCTACTAACAAATTATTTCTATCACACATGATGTTGTGCAAAGTACAAACCAATTTGCATTTTCTCCTGGTTTCAGAAACTTAAGAAGAGCCAGGAAAAGTGACAGGCATGCTGGCTTGCTGATTATGACTGAGAGAGGGCTTAGGAGGAGAAACACCCATTAAGCCTCGCAGGGGTCCATGTGATGATGGATCCCATCACCACGACCCTTTCAGAAATCAAAGAGAAGACCTTGGAGCCCAGCACACAGCGGGCAACTCTTGACAGCCTGGATGGGTAAGTGACTCTGGTGGTGAGCACCACCATCCTCTGATTTAAACAGAGGGTCTTGGCCTGCCTGGGGGCCTTCTAGCATAGCAGTACTGCTACCCTTCACAACGAGGTTGAGATCCACTAAGACCACCAAAGTCTAGGCTCAGAGTTTTCTCAGTCAGGCTGGGAGGAATGGAATAGGTGTTGAGGAGAGAAGGAAGTTGTTGGTGGAAAGGAAAAGCTGAGAAAACAGAATTTTCTTACAGCTAGCTTCCAGTCTGATTGGATTTCCCACCTCTCTGAGGCCTTGATCACTAGCCTCAGTGTTTCTTATCTCAGGGCTCACCAATTCACTCTTCAAATAAACTAGATCCCATCATGACGAAAACAAAATGCCCATTTTCCACAGGGATGTTTTCAGGTCTTAAAACTTGCCATGGATGAAAAATGTAATAATAGATGTAATAAAGAGATGTCTTTAGGACATAAAATTTCACAGAATATACCATGGATGTAAATTTTACTGCTACAGCTTTCATTTTCTCCTACAAACAAAAATAGAAAAGCCCAGCAGCAGTTGAAACTTCAGTAACAATGGTAAGTATAAATTTTGGTTCTATGAGAACAGTACAAGCCAATGGTATAAATGTTAAAATTGTCATAGTTTTGGAAAATAAGTGTTATCACCATGACAAAAAAACACATGCCACTTGCAGGTGACCAAAGGCATTGATGGAGAATGAATTCATAGAAGTTGTCAGAATCCTGCAACATCCTCCCCACCCCCAGCTATTTCCATATTCATTCATGTAACAAACATTCATTTAGCCAATATTTATCAGGCCCCTACTAAGTATCAGACACTATTCTATCTCTAGGTAAATAGGATGAACAAGTCTCTGACCTCCTGAGGCCTACTGTCAAGTGGTGGGAGGCAGAGGATAAACAAAGAAATGTATAATATCTGTCAGTCATAACTCTATTGGTTTGATGGTTTATTTAAAAATCAGTGGGTTTATGATTTATTATGACGGTGCTTTGAAGGAAAAAAAATAGAGCTAAGTTAGGAGACTGAGAGCAAGGAGTGGTCAGGGAAGGTCTGCTTGAGGAAGTAATATTTCTGAAGAGATCAGAATGAAATGAGAGACTGAGCCAGCAGGTGCTGGGAGAGGAGGGCTCCTGGCAGAGAAAGCAGCAGGTCTGAGATGGGCCTAGCTTAGCATGAGCAAGAGAAAGCAAGGCATCCTGGTGATCAAAATGTAGGGGACAGTGGGAAAGTGGTAAGAAATGTGTTCAGGAGCTTAGCAGAAGTCAGATCATATGGTGCCTTAACGTTCTTAAGAGGTGGGGGCTATGGACTTTATTCCAAGTGTGGTGGGAAGCCATGACAGTTGCAAGCCGGGGAGGACTATTCAACTCATAAATAGGAAGTGGCTCTGATTGACTGTTTAGAAAGATCAAACAAGCTCATATATGAAGAAAGTTTGTTGGGGGCAAGAGTGAAAGCATGGAGCCCAGTCAGGGAGGTTACTGAAAGGCCCAAGTGAAAGTTATGATGACTTCCACCAGGGTAGTAGCATAGGAGGAGATGAGAGGTGTTTGGATTTGGGATAGATACATGCCCAGGGTAGAGCAGACAGAATTTGCTGATTGCCAGGAAAGTGGGACAAAAGAAAAAACAACAACAACAACAAAAATAGTAGTCAAGGATGACTCTAAGGTTTTGAGCCACTAAGCTAATGGAAAACACTAAAGGAAGAGCAGGTCTCTTTGATGAAAACAGAAGTTCTGTTTTGGACATACTTGGTTTGAAATGGCTGTTAGGCAACTTAGTGAAAATGTCAAGTGGAAAACTGACTAAAGAAAACCTAGAACGCAGGAGGGCAAAAATCCTCACAGAGGTTCCCTGGCAGATAACTTGGTTTATTTTGGGGGTAGCAGGGCTGCTACCTGAATTCCTGCTGTAACCTCACTTGACTGCTTCCTGTTACAGTGGGCACAGCCTCCTGGGGTTATAATTTGAATACATTTCACAACCAAGGCAAAGTGGAGGAGTAATTCCAGCCCTGCCCAAGGAGTTGCAAAGTAGCACAGAACTTGCTCAGGGCATTTGCATTGGTTAAATTCCACACAACACCAGAGTGTTGCCTGGAGACTAGTTCCACAACTTGGTGCTGTGGGGGTTACTCAAGTTCATGCAAGTTGGACTCTGCCATCAAGCCACTCCCTAATTGTGAGTTGAGTAAGCCTCTCTCCTGTGAAAGCCAGGAAACCTAGAGGGAGAAACAAAGGGAAGCAAGGGCAGATGGACTTGCCTTTGCAAGTTTGGAGTTCAGTGTGGTAGAGTAGAAAAACCATGATCTCTGGACTCAAACAGATTTAGAGATAATTCCTTCTCTGTTACTTCCTAGCTGTGTCATCTTTAACAGGTTATTTTAACTTTCTCATCTAAACCTCAGGTTCCTTGGCTGCAAAGAGAGATAGGAGATTGTTACAAAGATTAAATAATGTTCACATGCAAACGCCTGGCTCACAGTAGGCATTCAAAGGGGAGAGGTCCCTTTCCTCCTTGTGTAATTCCTCACTATCCTGAAGTCACTATTCAGAGATACCCTAGCTTTAGACTTCCTTCTTGGGGGTCCTGTTCCAAATTCTCAGGGCTCTAACTCCTGGGGGAAGCTTTTTTCCAACCTCCCACTTTCCTGTGGGGAGCTCTAGTGGTGTAGTGCCTAAAGCATTTGACTGCTAACCAGAAGGCTGGCAGTTCAAACCCACCAGCCACTCCTCAGAAAGAAGACTGGGCAACCTACATCCATAGTGATACCACCTCAGGAACCAAGGAGAGGTCGCTATGATTTGAATCGACTGGACAGCAGTGAGTTTGGTTTTGGTTTTACTTTCCTGTGGTGGGAGTACGATGCTTGGTTTTTGTTCTAGGGATAAAGACCACAGTACCAGCATCTTCTCTGGGTTTGCGGGACTCCTTGCTACCCTCCTCATCCTCGTGGTACTCTGCATCCTGTGGAACTGGAATAAATGGAAGAAGCGTAAGTCCTTTGTTCAAAACTGAGACACACTAGGGTTCAAAATTGAGCCAGTTTTTTTAAATAATTTTTTTTATTGTGATTTGGGTGAAAGTTTACAGAGCAAATTCACTTTCCATACAGCAGCTCACATACACTTGGTCTCATGACATTGACTGCAATTCCCCACAACGCAACAGCTCTCCTCCCACTTCCTGTCCATAGTTACCCCTTCCTTGTGTTCTTCCCGCCGAGCACTCCTGCCCCGTGACCTGTCTCCCTGTGCATAAGCAGCCCTTCTTTCTCCCATGATTGTTCTCTCCAAGGTGTGTATCTACCTAATGCAAATGTTCACCTCATATGCCTGTCTTTTGTTTGGCTGGAAGCCACAGGAGTGGGTTTAATTCCAGGCCTGAAGGGCAGCTAGGAGCCATAGCATCAGGGGTTCCATCAGGTTCTATCAGACCAGCAAATCTGGTCCCTTTTATTTTTTTTATGATTTTGAGTTTTGTTCCACATTGTTCTCCCACTGTGTCCAGGATCTCCTACATAGATCCCCCTCTGAGTGGTTGACAGTGGTAGCCAGGCACATCTCGTTCTTCTGGTCTCATAGTTGTATAGGCTGAGGGTCACATGGTGTACCAGTCCCTTGGACTAATTGTGTCCATGCTTCTTTGGTTTCCCTCATTCTTCTTTGCTCTGGATGAGGAGAGACCAATCATTACCTCTAGATGGCCACTTGTAACCTTTTAAGATCCCAGTCACTACTCACCAAAGTAGGATGTGGAACAATGTTTTTGTGTAGTATGTTATGCCAATTGAGCTTGATGTCCCCTGCTACCATGGTCCCAAGCCCACAGGTCCAACTACTTGCTCCCTCTAGGTAGCTGGCTGTGGCCAAGAAGTGACTACAACCTTGTTCCTTGTCAGCTCTACTACATACTGGGGAATTCTTATAGAATATACCAATACACTTGTAGAAACATTTGTCTGCCAAACCTATACATGGTCATAGGCACACTCTCTCCTGTATAGACATACCTAATAGTTCAGCCTGTCCACCTATCTATCCATCCATAGATCAATATTTGCTGTCACTGACAATGCAGTACTGTATGTGCAAAAGGGTTCATCTTTGTTGTCTGTACCTCCTATGTACCTCTCTATGTCTTCTTCTTCCTCACAAAAATGAGCCTGATTTTTAAAACCTGGTTTGGGCTATCTATTCTCCCATATCTATAGGATTGTTGTGAGTCAGAATTGACAGCAAGGGGTTTGGTTGGGTTGCCTTTTTAATCTCCCATACCTAGTGTCCCTGGGCAGAGCAAAGAGTTAATGTGCTCAGCTGCTAACCAAAAGGTTAGAGGTTCAAGTCCACCTAGAGGCACCTTGGAGGAAGGGTCTGATGATCTACTTCCAAAAATATTAGCCATTGAAAACCCTATGGGGCATAATTTTACTCTGACATATATAGGGTCTCCATGAGTTGGAATCACTCCACAGCAGCTGTTTTTTTAAAATCTCCCACATCAAGTTATTTTTCAGGACTGAACCATTACATTAGGGAGTCCTCTGTTCTTATCCCACACACTAGTCAGAGTCTCACTCAAGATCCTGAGCTGAAGCTTCCAAATGCTCAGTGTGAATTGGCCCAGTACCCCTATGCTACAGTTTTCTCTTCCTGCTTCTGTTCACCAAGTTCCCTATTTGTCTAGCTCAAGTGGGATTAGGCAAGTCTGAAAATGTATTTTTTTATGATATATGGTGAAAGTGGGGAATTTTTCCAGGGAAAATTCCATTTCCAAGATTCCTCATTCTGTGCAGCTGACGTCTGCCATGACCCCCATCTCTCTGATTGCCTTGCAGGCTCAGTTCCTTACCTCCGTGTTGCTGTCATGCCCTTGATGAGCCTGCCTCAATGCAGGCAAAGACCCAAAAACATTTATGACTTCTTGCCTCAGAGGCAAGAAGAGCCAGGTAGGTTCTTGCCCCCAATCCATGGAGTCTAGATATAATTAACTTATCTTCCCAAGATATACCTCTTACCACCAGAAGCAACTTCCTCCAAGCTCTCAAACTTATCTGCCCCTCCAAGAACACCTAAGAGAATGGAATAGACAGGCTGCAAAATGCAGCTCCACTGGGGGGGGGGGGGCTAGAGAGCTCTTAAAAAGAAGGAGATTAGTCTGGGTTTGGGGTTCGTTTTTGTCTGGATGCTAAGGTAGCAGCAAAAGGGAGGGGGTGTCTAGGTGTGAGGAAAGCATGCAGAGGAGAACACGGCCACCAGCAGGGAAGATACTGCCCAGAACCTTTCTTCCCAGCCTCCCCAGCCCCTGTGCTAATGTCCTGCAGGGCCACTGGCACTGAGGAGGGTACTAGGTCCCAGAGGGCATCATCACAGTAGATCTGCCTCTCTGACCACCGAATACCAGGTCCCAGGCTAGAGATAATCAGGTACCGTACAACCCAGTTTCATCCATGATGTGGGAATTGTCTAGGATGAAGCCCTCGGAGGACACACTATCTTCAAGATGTGTTTTCTGTCTTTTCAGGGAGACATCAGTCAAGTAGTACTCGCATTTTCAGTTCTGAGAGCCTCCTTTCCAGAAATTCTGACAGCCCTACCCCAGAGCATGTGGTAAGAGCTAAACCTCTTGGCAGACTTGGCAGGTCTCAGGCAGAAAAACAGAAGTGAAAGAGTTCTGGTCTCAGATCTTGTTTCACCTTGGGAAAGCAACATGTCCTTTGGAACTTGCCCTGCAGCCCTGTTAATAAATTTGGGTGGTATCTAGCCTCAGGACTTCCCTACTGCCCAAGGAGGAAAATTAAGAAATTTAAGAGCAAGTGCTTGAGGTTTTAAGAAAGATCAACTCACTGCTGGCAAGTTGGATCTGACTCATAGCGACCCCTCCTTGGGTTTCTGTGGTGGTATCACTGGAAGTAGAGTGTCCAACCTTCCTTCCCAGTTCAAACCCACCAGCTTTCTGGTTAGCAGTGAAATGCCGTAGGTACTACACCACCAGGTACCAGGGCACATATATTCTACAACACTATGTTAGAACTGAAATGGAATTGTTTTAGCAAAGACATGATAATTTGCTTATACAAATGACTGTTGATTCCTTTAAAGTAATCACCTCATAAAGGAACACAAATATTTGAACAATGCTGTTGATGCTCAAAACATATTTAAAACTTGCTTTGGGAATTACTTCTAGGGCCTGTGTCATGTTGTTTCAATTATCCTCAGTAGTAGAAATATTCCTAAGTCATTCAGCACTGGAGCTGAGGTATAACATGTTTGATCAAACTGGGGTTGTTATTTTAGGTTGTTGTTGTTAGATAGCATCGAATCAATTTTGACTGATAATGACCACATGTGACAGAGTAGAATTGCCACATAGGGTTTTTAGGCTATAATTTTTCCAGGAAGAGGTCACCAGATCTTTCTCCCAGAGAGCCACTGGGTGAGATTCAGCTGTCAAACCTTCAGTTAGCAGCCCATTGTTTAACCATTGTGCCACCAAGACTCTTTATTCATTCTTTGAATTTACAAAGAGAGAATTACAATTAGCAACTCTACCCCATGTTTCTTTTCTTTCTCTCTTTCTTTCTTTCTTTTTTTTTTTTTTTAATTGTGATTTGGGTGAAAATTTACAGAGCAAATTCACTTTCCAGATAGCAGTTCACATACACTTTGTCTCATGACATTGACTACAATTTACCACAATGCAACAGCTCTCCTCCCACTTCCTCTTGATAGTTACCTCTTCCCTATGTCCATCCCTTCATGCACTTCTGCCCTGAGCTATCTCCCTGTGCATAAACAGCCCTTCTTTCTCCCATGATTGTTCTCTCCAAGGAGTGTATCCACCCCCAGGTAAATGTTCAACTCATACGCCTGTCTTTTGTTTGGCTGGAAGCCACAGGTGTGGGTATAATCTTATGATTTGGCTCTGGAGGCAGCTTCCAGGGAAGAGCCTAACAATAATTCTGTGAGGAGGCACCAAAGAGGGGTTACTTTGAAGAGCTGGATACCCGTTTTCATAGATAAATTCATGTTTGTTTGTTAAGGAACAAGCTCTTCTGTCCTGCGGTCTTCCTAAGGCAAGTACAGTGCTGCTGCTGCTGATTTTGTTCAGTACCCATCCTCTCATTATCCAGACGTTTAGGTTCACTTACTACACAGCCACCTCCACAACAAACCAAAACCAAACGCACTGCCATGGAGTCACCTCAGACTCATAGCAACTGCTCCTTGGGTTTCTGAGGCAGTATCACCATGGAAGTAGATTGCCCAATCTTCCTTCGAGGAGTGGCTGGTGGGTTTGAACCACCAGCCTTCTGGTTAGCAGTCAAATGCCTTAGGCACTTAGGCTACCACCTTTTTGCTTCCTCTTCCTCACACATATCCCATTCCCTAGAGGCTGCTCCTGCTTGTTCAGACTTCCCAGGCAGCAAGTCTAAGGGGCTGATAAGGGGAGGAAGAGGTAAACTCCCCTGGCAATGCTTATTTCAGGATGTGAGTGGGATTTGAGCGGATTTTGCATTTAAAATCCCTGACTTAAGCCCATAAAGATATTTTATTTGGACTCCATAGGATTTTAGGAGCATTTTGAATCAGTTGCCAACATTGAAAAACTAAGAGATATCACACTGAAAGTCCAGATTTCCAACTTTTCTTGAAAATTCAGAAGTTCTGGAAACATCAAGCCAGCAGCCCTAAATGCCAATACCATATTTTGACACAAATAATAAGTGCATTATGTGGTTTTTTTGTTAACCTCACATAAGCCCTTTAGTCTCCTCTGCACAACTGAATCTGTGAATCAGTGCCCCTTTAATAATAGTGGTAATCCTTTTTTCTTTCTTTCACATTTTTTTATGTACCAGGACCTATTCTGAACACTCCTTGTCTTAGTTATCTAGTGTTGCTACAACAGAAATACCACAAATGAATGGCTTTAACAAACAAATTTATTTTCTCACAGTTTAGGAAGCTAGAAGTCTGAATTCAAGGCACCAGCTCTAGGGGAAGGCTATCTCTCTGTGAATTTAGAGGGAAGTTCTTTATCTCTTCTGAGCTTCTCTGGGCAATCTTCATGTGACTAGGTATCTTTCTTCCCCTATCTCTGCTCCTCTCTGTTTGCTTGTTTAATCTCTTTTATCTCAAAAGAGATTGAGTTGAGACACACCCTACATTAATCCTGCTTTATGAACATAACAAAGAAAACTCATTCCCAAATGGGATTATAACCACAGATATGGGGATTAGGATTTACAACATATATTTTGAGGAGATACAATTCAATCTAGTGACTCTACTAATCCATTTTCTCTTCACAAAAACCTTATCATGTTGATATGATTATCCCCACCTTATAAATTAGAAAAGTCAACAAATTACGAGATTGGGTAACTTGCCCAAATTCTCTCATCAAGTAAGTGCTGCAGCTGGGATTTGAAGCCCTCAGTCTGAACCTAAGTTTGTAGCTTTAGCCACTGTGCTATGTTACCTCTCTGAGGCTCTGCAACTCTGAGGAAGCCAACCATCCCCAGTTTATAATGGTCTTCCCCCATCCCACCATTCTTCCCTGAAACCTCATACTATGGTCAAAATCCAGTTGCAATTTATCATCACAATTTCACTGCTGTTTTCTTAAACTCCACCCACTTCCCTCTCACCTACTTGGCATCTAAAGCCTTACAGTTTGAAATCCATAATTTAGAGTTTCTTTCATGATGGAGCAGGAGAAAGATGTGGCAGTCTGCTTCCGTAAAGATTACAGTCTTGAAAACCCTATGGAGCAGTTCTACTCTGTCCCGTAGGATCGTCATGAATCACAATTGACGCTATGGCAATGAGTTTGATTTTGGTTTCCATTGTTGTTGTTAATGTTGTTATTTGCTGTGGAGTCAGACCCGACTCACAGCAATCACTCCTTGGGTTTCTAAGGCAGTATCACTACAGAAATAGATTGCCTAACCTTCCTTCCAAGGAGTGGCTGGTGGGTTTGAAACACCAGCCTTCTGGTTAGCAGTCAAGGCACTGGTACTGGGCAGGGAAGAAAAGCTTTGTCTGTATTTCTGTGTTCCATCCAATCACTGACCTTCTTTTCCTCTCCACAGTCCTCACGACCAGTTAATGTCCTCCAGGTGCATGAAGCCCATAACTCTGTCATGGGATATGCAGTGGGTGTCTATGACAATGCCATGGTGCCCCAGATGTGTGGGACTCTCACTCACTCAGCACACATCAATGTCAGAGCTTCCACAGATGACCTGAGCGTTTCTTCAGAGGATTCAAGGGATTATGTCAACATGCCCAGAGCAGAAGAGATTACTGAGAATCTAGCTTCCAACTCCCCTGGGAATCTCCTTGTCCTCCCAAGTGCACAGGAGCTGGACTTTACTGGAGAAAGAGACATGAGCTATAAGGGTGCCAATGACTGCACTAGATTTTGGTCTCCAGTAACTAAGAGCAGTGAGCAACTCAGTGATGAGGAAAGTTCTTCTCAGACTTCAAATGACTATGTCAACATGTCAGAATTAGATTTTGGGGCCACTAAAGGGGAACAGCCCTGGATGACTTTTGAGTGTTGTAGAGATTATGAAAATGTCCCACCAGCAGATGCTGATGGAAACCAGCAGCAAGTAGAGGAAGAGGTGAAATCCTTAAACACAGACCATGTAGAGGGCAGGACTGATGCTCTGGGCACGCACATTCAGCCTGTCATGCAATCAGGCAGATTCCTTGTGTCAGAGGATTCCATGGCCTTTCAACCATTGGCACAGAGTGGGAATAGTCAGATGAAGCATGGAGAAGAGATACCAAGTGAAGACGATAGTGACTACGAGAACGTGCTAGTTGCCACATTAGGAGGCAAAGACTATGAGCAGGGGCCAGGCACATAACTTCTTCCTGATGAATCAAGACCCAGCCACCCAGCTAGAAAGCTATGTGGAATGGTTTATCCTGCTAGATCCATAGCCACCACAGAGTCTAATGATGATCCATGTCCACTCTAGTGTCTCAGTGGATTCATTTGGTTAGGTTCAGAAGAGGCTGAGTAGGGAACTAAGAGGCTAGGATGGAACCGAGATTTGGAGATGCTAGATGGGAATTCTTGTCAAGAAAAGTGCCGTTATATGTCATATCAACCTAAGAATATTTGCTGAGCTTACCTTGTAGGACTCTCGGGAGATAAGAAATAGGATGGTACCTTAGTGCACAGTGGAAACATGAAGTCACCTAAAATCATTGCCTTTACTACACAGCTGCAAAGTAAGGGTACAGATTATTTTGTAATCTAGGCAGAAGCCAACAGGAAGGAAGATGTTGGGGAAGAGGTTTCCACTTTTTAAAAGTGCAGAAAACCAAATGCAGGTGAAGATGAGAAGCAACAGAAATTCTCGTCACTGCCAATTGGTTGCAAAATGTGTAACAGCTGCTTTGGAAAAGTGTTTGGCACTTTCTTATAAAGTTAAACACGCACACTTATCATATAGCCCAGCCATTCCACTAGTAGGTATTACCCAAGTGGAATGAAAACTTATATTCACACAAACACTGGGTGCATGAATATTTGTAGCAACTTTATTCATAATTGCCAAAAACTGGAAATAACCCAGATCTCCTTCAACAGGTGAGTGGATAAACAAATATACTACTCTGGATTAGAGTTGGGGACTCATTATGAACTCAGGTCAATTTTAATATATATACAAATAGATACAGAAATAAATACATATTTGTGTGCATACAGGGGTTAGTATACATACCTATATTTTCTAGCTCTATGCACTGAGGGGGCCTAGGAGCAGTGATACCCCAGTAGCAACAAGCACACCTAGCATTTAGATCGTGGTTTCAAAACACATTTTCCAGTCAATGAAGAACTGATTCATTCAACAACATGGAGACAGCTTTTTTTTTTTTTTTTAATAGACTATGTTTTAGAAAAAGTTTTGGTTTTTATGGAAAATGTGCAGAGAGTACAGCAAGTTCTCATATATTTGCCCTCCCTCTGCATACTGTTCTCCTATATTATGGAGACATGGGTGATTATTAAATGTATTTAGCTAAGTAAAAGAAGCTAGACTAAAAGTCTACCTGTTGCATGATTCCATTTATATGACATTATGGAAAAGGCAAAATTATAGGGATGGAAAACAGATACATGGTTGCCATGGGGTGGAGGAGGGGATGGATTAACTACAAAGGGACTGCACAAGGGAATTTGGCGGTGACAGACTTGTTCTGTATGGGAGACCTGGTGATGCAGTGGTTAAGCCCTCAGTTGCTAACCAAAAGGTTGGTGGGGCAAAGCTACCAGCACCTCTGTGAGAGAAAGATATGGTGGTCTGTTTCCAAAAAGATTATACTCTTGGGAACCCTATGAGGCAATTCTACTCTGTCCTATAGGGCTGCTACAAATAGGAATCAACTTGACAATAACAGGTTTGGGTTTTGTTCTGTAGTAGGTGATGTATAACTCCATGTATTTATCAAAATACAAAGAAATGTATACCAACAAGAGTTACTGTGGTAGTTAAGGTTATGTGTCAACTTGGCTAGGTCTGGTTTTGAGTGGCTGGGCAGCTGGGTATAGTTATTCCCCGTGGTGAGACTGGTAATCAACTCCATGGTGGAAACTACTGGAGCAGCTGAGCAACTGCCTTAGGGATGTGGTCTGCTTCCAGTAAGTATGGAGAAGCATTGAGAAAGGTCTGCAGCTTTGGGCACGCTTGAATCCTGCATGTAATCAAGTCATTGTTCGGCAGCCTGCCATGTTGTCTGCTGATCTTAGGACTGTTAATGAACTTGAATCAGTGGCCTGCTGTGTGGTTTGACAATTTTGGGACTATGCCATTTGTCAACCTTGGTTTTTCCAGCCTCAGCAGTTAGCAGCTTCCTGAGTGAAGAGATGCCTCCAGTTCCAATGGGCCAGAAGCAAGAGGCAGAGCTGAAGCCCAAGGTCAAGGGGCTTTCCCACAATCCCAAAAGCTTGGCACTTTGAACTTGGCCTTCTAGCCTTCAAAACTTTAAGAGAATAAACTCCTGTTTGTTAAAGCCAACCATTTGTGTGGTATTTCTGTTAGAGCAGCACTAGAGAACCAAAACAGTTACTTTTACTGAAACAAAACTACAAAAAAAAAAAAAAGAAGAAGAAGAAGGAAATTAGCAATAATGTCAGAGGAACCCAGGATAGAATGCAGATTGTGACTAATGAATCTAACTATATTATAAATGTGTGATATAATCTCACTGAAGGGGATGAGAAGAAATGAGCTGATGTAAGTAAACCTGAAAAATAGTGTTTTGACTGGATACTGTAAGGCCGAAAACATACAAAAAAAGTGCACAAATCCTTCACTCTAGTTGGAAAGTCTGTATCTCAAAGGAATAGGGTTAGCAATTCTGAGATTACTTTAACATAGACTAGGGGAGCTCTAGTGACATCATGCCTAAGGCATTGGACTGCTAACCAGAAGGCTGCTGTTTCAAACCCACCAGCCACTCCTCAGAAGGAAGACTGGGCAATCTACTTCCATAGAGATAACACTTCAGTAACCCAAGGAGGGGTCGCTATGAGTTGGATCAACTTGATGGCAGTGAGTTTGGTTGTTTTTTTGAGGGTTAAACAAATGGGTAAATATATTGTAGGAAACTACAGCAGGTTTCTCACTGTCAGAGAAGGAAATTACAAATAAGCAAGTGTGAAAGTCTAGAACGAACTCTGTGATTCTGGACTAGAGTTGGAGATACCATATGAACTCAGGTTTATTTTAATATATACACAAATAAATAACAGTTTATGCCCATACAGGGTTAGTACACATACATATACTTTCTAGTTCCGTGCACTGAGGAGGCTTAGGACACCTCAGTAGCAACAAACTCACCTAACACTTAAATCTTGGTTTCAGAATACCATTCTTCAATGAAAGGAATCAGGGGTCCTGGAAGAAATGGCTGGTTCTAGGATTTGGGCAGGGAAAATGCAAGATGAGCGTGGAGCATCTTATAGGGCCCAAAAGCAAAGAAGTACAAAGAAAAGACAAAACATGAGAGCATTTCAAAAGAAGCCAACTAAAAGCAATTTCAATGGCAAAGCTGGAACAAGTTGAACAGTAAAAATAAATAATTCAACTATTGATTGATTACTCAAAGAATAAAATAAATATCCATGAGTCTCTACCAATATAAACCAATAGTTGGTTGAATAAATAAACTAGAAGAGATATGATCCTCCTTACAGATTATTTTCAAATAATAAATGTAAAAGGAATGAAGAAAGCAGAAAAACATCACCATTAGGAAATATTCAAACTCACTGCTGTCAAGTCAGTTCTACTCATAGCGACCCCTCCTTGGGTTTCCAAGGCAGTATCTCTACGGAAGTAGATTGCCCAATCTTCCTTCTGAGGGTTTGAACTGCCAGCCTTCTGGTTAGCAGTCAAATGGCTTAGGCCACCAGAACTCCTTAGGGAACACTACTCAGCCATAAAGAGAATTGAAGTTCTGATGCATCCTGCAACACGGATGAACCTTGACTACATTATGCTGAGCAAAGTGTCACACAAAAAGACAAATACTGTATGATTCCACTTATATGAACTATATAGAATAAACTATCTAGAATAAATGCACAGAAAGTTTATCGGTGGTTTTCAGGGTAGAGTGGGATGGGGAAGAGGGGAGTTATTGCTGAAGGGGCACTGAGTTTCTGCTAAGGGTGATGAAAAAATGTGGGAACAGATAGTGATGATGGTTGCACAAAAGGATCAATGTAATTAATGTCATTGAATTATACATGTAAAAAATATTGAAATGGCAAGTGTTTTATTATATATTTGTATCACAATTTTAAAAAAGAAAAAAGAAAGTCACCATTAAGAC